TATCCTTGAGGTGAATTTTATTAATATTGACATAAGCTTGTACAACTATACCAGTTTTACCCTTTATAGTTGCATCGAAAATATAAGATGCAAATACAGCACCAGCATGAGCCATAGAAAGTGTGGCAGATCCTGTACCATCTTTTGCTTTAACAACTTCATCACCACCTAATAATAGCAATGATCATTTTTAATAATAATAATATCTAACTTTGAGCTACCAAAAAATCCCTCCCAATTATATTACCAAATTGAATACGCTTTGTTAATGAGGCAATTTGTTCTTGAGTGAATTTGTGAGATGGCGAGACTTGAGATAAAAGTGGAATAATTGTGACACCACTATGACCACCAACCACAGGAACACGAATTTCACGAGGGTCAGCACCTGAAATTGAACTGATGAAAGTGGAAGCACGGACTATATCAAGTGTGGTTACTCCATAAAGTCTTTTTGGATCAAATACATTATATTTCTTTAACACTTCTGCAACAATTGGAACTGTGGAATTTACTGGGTTGGAAATGACAAGAATGAAAGCTTTTGGTGCATATTTAGCAATATCTGTTGCTAATTTTTGAACTATCCCTGCATTAATCTGAATTGATATTATTTTGTGATAAATCAAAGAATATTCATAATTACATTAAATATCCTCCATAATATAATTAATATAATTAATACCTTAAATAAATCATCTCTTGTATTATTTGTTTATTATGCTTAATTGATTGATCGGAAGTTGATAGAAGACCTTTAGATAAAAAAAAGTTTTTTAAAAAATATTAGTGGAGATTGAAATCTCAAAATAATAATCAATTACACAAACAAAGCAGATAATCATAAAAATAAACTGAAGATTAAAAAAACTCTTTTATTAAGTTTTATTTGGATGGTGTAACAAGCAAATCCTATCAAAACAGAAAAGTCTTCATTAAATTAATATATAAGAGCACTTTTTTTTTTATCCCATTTAATTTTCAATAAACTTTATAACGAAAAAAATAAAAATTAAATAATAATAATAATGGTTAAAGTAGCTGTACTTGGTGCTTCTGGCGGTATTGGACAACCTCTCTCTTTA